TGATTTTTAAATTATTTTATGGTTTGGGAGAGCTCATTTAAGTTATGTACCAGCTGGCGATATCTTAAAGTCTATGACTACACATATTCACACGAAAAAATAAACCTTTCAAATTCTACTTGCTTTATTAAATCATTTTCAGATAATACCAAATCCCAAGACTTAATACATAATCAATTAACCTACTTTTACTGTAAGAGATTTCTCTCTCTAACTCTGTGACCGCTTTGTTTTACAGCACCTTGAAAAAGATATACATCATTTGCATGTGCTTGACTTTAGTGGATGGATTGTGATTGTGGAGTTGGTATTATAATGATGTCAACTTACCAACTACTCTTTTGTTTTTGGTTTTCTTGCTCAACTCAGGTTGTTTCATGGTTGCAGTCTGATGTGAGAATTTTTCTACAATTTATCTGACACACATTACTCTCTAATCCTGTTTGCGTGGGAAATTCATTCAAGCTTCTTTTCTTTTGTTTACTTGACTTAAAAAGTAGCTTGCTTTGTTTTGTGGTCATGGAAAGATTGGAGACCCGGACCCACAATCCACTTACTCATCTCAAAGATACAAAATTATCACAAGTCTCCTCAGAGCACTTTTCAGTGGGATCTCATTGTCCAGCCACCCACAGTAGAAGATTGAAAGAAACTAAAGATAGCAATAGCAGTTATATTTCACGAGAAAAAGCAATTCTAGAGAAATACAATGCCCCCACAAATCACCATGTTATCTGACAACTCTTTACTTTTCTTTTTCATTTTTCTTTTTGGCTCTCATGAGGTGGGGGGCAGGATAGAGTCAATGCCTACCCCATGTAAAAGAGCTTGATATTCTTTTAATATGATTACATGGTAAAAACATGATATGATGGACCCATACTTCATACAAAATTGCAATTTCCCAAAATGTTGCAAACTCATCACTTGTTAAGGAATACTATATCAAAATTCAATCAGATTACATGTAATTTCAAGGCATTTTACATCAGCATTAACAACATCCTTACGCATATGATGTAAGCCTAAAGTTTTGCCAAAAGAAGAGCATTTTCTCAGACTTACAAATGCATGCAATTTCACTGAAAAGATAAAAGTTCATTGCCATTAGCGATAACAGTATAGAACAAACAAAAAAAAAAAAAAAAAGACAATAATTTAAAGGATTTGCACACTACAGTAAAGAATTGAATTCCATAGAAAAGAGAAAGCAAAAGCTAAAAAGAAAAGCTTTATTAAGAAGTAGATCCATTCATTGACTGATTAAAGTGAAGAACATGGTGAATACCTTCATGAACCCTGGGTTGAGTTGGTCTGTGGTAAAACTATTGTGACAGGATAAGAACCCATATGGGTTTCAGAAGAACTTGGGTATTTGCCCTTCTTAGACCATTGCCATATCTTAGAAACAGAGAAGCTTTCACCTTTACTTCTAATGTTAATCTTCTTCCCCTCAACATCAACATCATTTGAGGAATTCTCGTTTTGTCCAATTCTTCCTTTCAACAGCCTTAAACTAGTACTACCACCGCCTCTAGTGGGGTATAAGGCCACTTGCAATTCTGAATCAGCAACCACATATTGGTATGATCCCATTGAGAAACATCTCCTGGCATCCAAATTACTACTACTACAACTACTCTCTCCCTCTCCCTCTCCCTCTCCCTCTCCCTCTCCATCTCTCTTCTCTACTCCACCTCCAACATTTGAGCTTCTAAACTTTCCAAGCCTAACAGAAAACACCCTTTTTTCACTAATAATTTCATTTTCTGCTGGTTTTGAGCCAAGAGAAACTCCACTTCCTACATTCCCTGAGCACCCATCTTCTTCCCTTGGATATTCAAAGTCAAAATCTAGGTTTTCAATGCCAAGACCAGGTGTGTATAGGTTCCCTCTACAAAGAGGGCAAGTTGAGTTGGACAATAACCATGTGTCTATACAATCAATGTGAAAAGCATGACTACACATGGGAAGTAGTCTCAACTTGTCTTGTTCTGAGAATTCACAGAGACAAACAGGACAATCAAACGGCTCTTTTAGACCCATTATTTCTTTATAAAGGAACACAGGGAGAGCATCTATAAACGCTTGATCTAGACCCGAATCATGAAGATGAAAGAGTTGTTGAAGCTGCCTCTGGAAAGCCTCAGAGCCAGACATTTCTGGGTATCTGTTGGATTCAGATACTGATGAAGATCTATTTTTTATAAGAAATCTAATAAGCAATTGAAGAACACCAGATATGAAGAATATAACCGCTAGAATAACTATGATAAAAAGAATAGCAGGGCTTATTTTATTACCAGATGACGTTGATGGGGCTGATTGTTTTTGGTAATCACTATTATAAGGCAGTGAAGAGGATGGAGATGATGGAGAGGAAAGCATAGAGTGAGAATGTTGTGTCATTAGACTATCTTTCAGCTTTATTTGGGATTGAATCCAAGACATTTCAGCAACTAAGCATCATCAAAAGACCATCTTTTCCTCTTAACTTTCTCGGATCAAACACTTCATCATTATGTGTAATCTCAAGAAACCTTTTTTTTTTTTCTTTTTTCCTTCCTTTGAGATCAAACCCAACTCATTTAATATAGGGAACAAGCAATAGACACATTATTCTTGTACTTACAACAAACCCAGTTCATTCAAGTCAACAATGTGAAGGAAAAAAAATACAATCTTGACCATCAAGATTCACCATCGAGACTTTTCAGAACAAGATTTAGTACCTCACTTTGACTGACATGAAACCCCAAGTCATTGGTGTAGAAGGAAAACTAGCAGAGCAGGGAAGCCTTGAAGACTTTTCAGAGATGTGAAAGATTGCAGTTTACCTACCAGAGAACTTGAGAAGTCTGCCATTAATGGAGCCCATAGTACATTTGGACGAGTCTGGTGACTGGGGCAGTGAATTAAAGAAAACCCTAAACAAAAGAGCAGTAAAGAGTAGCAGTTTCTTTAAAGTGTTTTATATGTTGGGCAAAAGGAAGGTTGTGTAGAGAGTTCTGGGAATAAGGGTGGTAGGTTAGTAGCTACCAAAAAGCGAGTTCTGAGGAGCCAAAAAGAAGCGCTGCTGGGTGATTGATTGATAAGATGATTTAAAATTATTTATAAATAAATTTGAAACAGGAGATTGAGTCTTAGATTTGCCCGTGAGTTGTTGAATAGTTTACAAGTGTAAGTGTTTGAAGACAGAAAGAAAGAGACCGTACAACAAACATTGTATTTGTCATTCACTGCTGCTCTGGTTGGGAGTTGGGCTTGGGACATTATAGCAATGCAATAAATAAAAAAAATAATAATTGTTGTGGATTTGGATAATTTACCAAACTTAATAACATGGTCCATGGACTAGTGACAGCCCATGCTGAAACTCCGTTAACTGTTACCAAAATTGGTCATATTCCTTCAGTCTATTAAGGAGAAAGGAAGTGAGTTTTTGCGCACTGTCCTCCGTCTATTATATATATATATTTTTAAAAAAATCTCTTTAATTAGATTTTTTTTATTTTCACATGTTTTCCCTACACTACTCTTCCTAATTACAAGTTTTATTAGGTGTTTTTTTTTTTGTACCCCTATTTCCCGATTTCAAATTTAAAACTTACTTTTTTTTTCTTTTTCAGATTTAGATTTATCTCGTTGTGTGATTATTTTCTCTATAACTTTTGTAATATATTTTCATCAAAACAAAAAAAATATTTGAAAAAAAAAATGTTTCAATGATTTTAAAATTAAAAGTTGGGAGTTTATGTAAGAATTAAATATTAAAAATTAAAATAAAATGGAGTGTGAGTGTATTTAGAAACCATTATGTCATTATTAGAGCTGGGCATTTGGGACCGGGGCCAAAAGCCCAGCTCCAAAACCTGGTCCTAGAGAGGACTGGACCTAGGAGGCCTGGTCCCATAAGGAGGAGGGCCCGGGCCTGGGACCAAATTTTTTTGTATTTTTTTAATATAGTCCCCTATCAAATTACATAAAACCTCCTGTTAATTTTAAAATAAATATAAATTACGATGGCTAAAATGAGATTTTACAAAATTTATAAAAAGAAAAATCTTCCTGGTCTAAAAATTTTATAAATTTTATAAATTTTACCCCTATAAAATACTAAAAACCCCCTATAAAATTTCGTTTTGCCCCCAAAATATAAAAAAAATTGAGGGGGGAAAAAAATTATCCAAGCCCCATGGGACCGGTCCTAGGACCGATCATGGGCCCATGGGACCAGAGGCCTGGTCGGGGTCCTAGTTTTTTTCATGGGCTTAGGACCGATTCTAGGCCCATGAGTGACTGGTCCCATTTGGGACCAGTCCCAAACGGGCCCAGGCTTGGGCCCGCAAGGGACCGGTCCCTGCCCACCTCTAGTCATTATATATAAATAAGTGGGGATATTAATCAATTTGATCGGGCTTGGGCCCGCAAGGGACCGATCCCTACCCACCTCTAGTCATTATATATAAATAAGTGGGGATATTAATCAATTTGATCGGCAATATCACTTCCCTAATAAGAAAATTGGAATAATATTGATATAAAACATGAAAAAAAATCTAATTTGGGTATGAATGGTAAAGTTCGTGTTAATGTTTCTTGGCCTTCAAATCAATCAATGGGATACTTCTACCTCCCCTTACATATTTAATCACTTGGACCTAAATAACCAAAAAAATAAAAATAAATAAATAAATCTTTTTTGCAACTAAAATTTGCTAACTTGACCCAAAAAAATAAAAATAAATTTGTCTACCTTAAATTAAATTAGTTCCAGGTTTGTTATTATAACAGTTATTTAAGGTCTTTTCATTTTAGTAGTTTAAATTTTAGGGTATCAACCTTACTAGAAATGTTAAATTGATCGAATTGGTTGACATGGTAGAAAATTATATGGCAACGTATGCATGTATCAAATAACTTAGTTTATTTTATTTTATTTTATTTTTTTTAAGCAATGTAACTGTTGAAGAATGAAACCATTAAACGATGCTGCATGACTTAATCCCATGCTCTGACGTTTTGGGTGCTACTCTTTTTAAATCCTGGCCATCATTTTGCATCAGATCCAACGACTACCTCTTCCCCTTTTGGTCAATGTATAAAAGCTAAACATTCCACTGGTTTATGAACAAATTTTCTTACTCTCTTCTTCGGGTATTATTTGCTCTCTGCTAGGGTTCTTATTAAGCACTCAAATTTGTGTAATTCTTGGGCGATCTGGTGACTCATGTTGTAAAGGTTGTGTTTCCTTTTGGTTAAGTGGAGTGAGTTAGATTTCTCTTAGGATTTAAAAAGGTTATCGTGAGTGAGTGTATGTTTACCAATTGAGAGAGCTTTGAGAGTTCTTGTGAGTTTGTAATATGTAAAAACATTCTTGATACATAGTGCAGCGGGCCTCAGTGTTCTGGAGCTCAACGTAGATGTAGCTTATTCAAATCTTGAACAAGTGAACCACGGTAATTTTTTGTGTCTGTGATTCTTCTTTGTTCTTGTGTTTGTGATTGAATTGGTAGTAGGTTGAGTGTGAATTTGGTCTCAAATCGTAATAGTGGTATCAGAGCTTTTGGTTCTAAGGTTTGTCGATTTCTAGGGTTTCTAATTTTGGGAAATTCTTGATCCTAGAATTTGTTAAAATTGGGGGGTTTCTTGTTTTAATGGTTCTTTGAGAGTCAAGGGTTCTAGAAATCGTCAATTCGATTCTTGATTTGGGAAATTTTTGATTATACGGTTTGTTAAATTGGGGGCTTCTTGATTTAATGAATCCTAGGTAATCTAGGGTTTTGATAATCATCAATTAGTTTGTCAACTAACGAGAATTAAAAATCAATTCCAATTTCTTGGTTTCAATCAAAAATTCACACAATGACTACTACCACTTGCATGGAAATTACCTAGTATGATGGGAAAATTGATTTCAACAACTGGAAAAAGAAGATGAAGGCTCTCTTGTCTCACAATAAGGTGGGAATTGCGATGGAGAAAGATTCCACAAAGTGGCCAGAGAAGAAGCTGAAAAAGAAGGTTGAGATTGATGAGAAGGCGTATAATCTCATCATCCTGAACCTATCAGACAACGTTCTAAAAAAGGTAGATGGCCTGGAAAATCCAATCGCCTTGTGGGGTAAACTCGAAACTTTATTTGCATTATAGTTTACCCCTAACTTAGCTTTTTTAAAGGGTTCTTTGTTTGCATATAAAATGGATGTCTCTAAATCTTTAGATGATAATCTAGATGAGTTCCTGAAAATGACACTAATTCTTAAAGGCACTGACCAAGAATTAGGAGACTCTAGCTTGACGATGATCCTGTTAAATTCCTTGCCTTAGGACTATTTAGTTGTTAAAAATGCATTGCAGTATAGTGGGACTATCCCTAGTGTTAATCTGATTGTGGCTGGATTGAAATCTAAGGAGTTAGAACTAAAAAATCAGAAACGAAATGGCAATTACCTGTTTGTGAAAGGTAGGACTGATGCTGGTCAGTTATGAAAAGAGGCAGGAAGAGTGTTTTAGCATAATCCAGGGTTTAAGAATAAAAAGAAGGGTAAAGGTAACAGTAAGCCTAATTCAGAAACTAGGAAATGCTTTCACTGTAATAAAACTAGGCATCTTAAAAAGAATTGCTATGATTGGATTAAGAAACAGAAGCAGACTAATACTGAAAGCAATTTAGCATGCACTAGTAATAACATTGAGCTTGCAGAAGCTCTTACTGTTTCAAACTCTATTAATGCTAAAGAGTGGGTCTTAGACTCAGGGTGCTCTTTCCACATGAGTCTAAATAGGGACTGGTTTCAAGACCTTAAACATGATGAGAATGAAATTGTTTTTATGGGTAATAATCACTCGTGTAAGGTCTAGGGAGTTGGTAGCATTGCCATCAAGCTGAATGATGGCAAAGTAGTCAGACCAACCAAAGTAAGATACATAGCTGAACTAAAACGTAACCTGATATCTTCAGGGACACTTGATGAGGCTAGATGCTGTTATAAGGCTCAAAATGGTTGTATAGTAGTGTACAAGAATAATCATGTATTGCTTAAAGGGATTAAGAAAAATGGGCTATACATACTGTATGGGCATTACTATGATAACGCTTTTAATACTGCTCCGTTTGCTACTAACATGTCTACTGCAGAAAAATGGCACTTGAGGATGGGCCACATAGGCTAGAAAGGTATGAATATTCTCAAACAACAGGGTTTTTTTGGGAATGATACAATCACTGACCTGGAATTTTGTGAAACATGCGTGTTGGGTAAACAACATAGGATGAGTTTCCCAAAAGGAACTCATCAGGCCACTAGGTTTCTAGAATACCTATATACAGATCTGTGGGGTCTTTAGAGGGTTAGGTTTCATGGTGGGAACTCATACTTCCTGTCCATTGTAGATGATTTCAGTAGTAAGGTATGTGTATACCTCATAAGGTCCAAGGATGAAGCCTTTACCAAGTTTAAAGGCTGGAAAATTCTGGTGGAAAACCAGAGTGAAAATAGAGTTAAAGCCCTTAGGACTGATAATGGTTTAGAGTTTTGTAACTCTAAATTTGATACTTATTGTAGTGACCTAGGGATCCTAAGGCATAGGATAGTTAGGAGAACCCCTCAGCAAAATGGGGTTACGAAGAGAATGAATAGAACATTGTTAGAAAATGTTAGGTGTCCCCTATTCCCCTTGGGGTTGCTTAAAACCTTTCAGGGAGAAGCCCTAACTGCTACTGCCTACCTTATAAATAAGAGCCTGTAACGTCCCATTTGAGGTACATGGTTAAGAGTCACTGTATGGCTTAAATGTTTATTGATTCAGCTCCAATTAAGCTTATATGTTGTTAATATTGTTTGGTTGGCCCTTGGTTGAATGGATGTATTGGTTAGGTTGAGTGGTTGCCCTAAAAATTATGAAGACTTGGTGAAACTTTGTCTTACAGGCTTCGCCGGGGCGAAAAAGAATCTTCGCCGCAGCGAAGAGGTGCTGCAGCCACGGAGTAGCTGCTGGAGTGTTTCGCCGCGGCGACGTAATTGTATTCGCCGTGGCGACGGGTTGGCTGAAAAGTTTTATTAAGTTTTAGATATTTTTCCCCTAAGGACAATTTGACCATTCTACCCCTAATTAGCAGGAAAAGTGGGGAGTAAAATGTAAGAAAAT